TATTGTATGAGTTCTGATGCATCACGACTTTTGTTTCAGATATGATATATCTCGAATATTGTATGAGTTCTGATGCATCACGACAAATGTAGTAGATATGATATATCTCGACTATTGAATGAGTTCTGATGCATCACGACAAATGTAGTAGATATGATATATCTCGACTACTGTATGAGTTCTGATGCATCACGACTATTGTGTCAGATATGATATATCTCGACTATTGTATGAGTTCTGATGCATCACGACTATTCTGTCAGATATGATACATGTCGAATATTGTATGAGTTCTGATGCATCACGAATATTGTGTCAAATATGATATATCTCGACTACTGTATGAGTTCTGATGCATCATGACAAATGTAGTTGATGTGATATATCTCGACTATTGTATGAGTTCTGATGCATCACGACTATTGGGTCAGATATGATACATCTCGACTATTTATCAGTTCTGATGCATCACGACAAATGTAGTAGATATGATATATCTCGATTATTGAATGAGTTCTGATGCATCACGACAAATGTAGTAGATATGATTAGCTCGACTACTGTATGAGTTCTGATGCATCACGAATATTGTGTCAGATATGATATATCTCGACTACTGTATGAGTTATGATGCATCATGACAAATGTAGTAGATGTGATATATCTCGACTATTGAATGAGTTCTGATGCATCACGAATATTGTGTCAGATATGATATATCTCGACTATTGCATGAGTTCTGATGCATCACGACTATTGTGTCAGATATGATATATCTCGACTATTGAATGAGTTCTGATGCATCACGACAAATGTAGTAGATATGATATATCTCGACTACTGTATGAGTTCTGATGCATCACGACTATTGTGTCAGATATGATATATCTCGACTACTGTATGAGTTATGATGCATCACGACAAATGTAGTAGATATGATATATCTCGACTATTGAATGAGTTCTAATGCATCACGACAAATGTAGTAGATATGATATATCTCGACTACTGTATGAGTTCTGATGCATCACGACTATTGTGTCAGATATGATTTATCTCGACTACTGTATGAGTTCCAATGCATCATGACAAATGTAGTAGATAAGATATATCTCGATTATTGCATGAATTCTGATGCATCACGACTATTGTGTCAGATATGATATATCTCGACTATTGTATGAGTTCTGATGCATCACGACTATTGTGTCAGATATGATATATCTCGACTATTGAATGAGTTCTGATGCATCACGACAAATGTAGTAGATATGATATATCTCGACTACTGTATGAGTTCTGATGCATCACGACTATTGTGTCAGATATGATATATCTCGACTACTGTATGAGTTCTGATGCATCACGACAAATGTAGTAGATATGATATATCTCGACTATTGAATGAGTTCTGATGCATCACGACAAATGTAGTAGACATGATATATCTCGACTACTGTATGAGTTCTGATGCATCACGACAAATGTAGTAGATATGATATATCTCGACTACTGTATGAGTTCTGATGCATCACGACTATTGTGTCAGATATGATATATCTCGACTACTGTATGAGTTCTGATGCATCACGACAAATGTAGTAGATATGATACATCTCGACTATTGAATGAGTTCTGATACATCACGACTATTGTGTCAGATATGATACATCTCGACTATTGTATGAGTTCTGATGCATCACAAATATTGTGTCAAATATGATATATCTCGACTACTGTATGAGTTATGATGCATCATGACAAATGTAGTAGATGTGATATATCTCGACTATTGTATGAGTTCTGATGCATCACGACTATTGGGTCAGATATGATACATCTCGACTATTTATCAGTTCTGATGCATCACGACAAATGTAGTAGATATGATATATCTCGACTATTGAATGAGTTCTGATGCATCACGCCAAATGTAGTAGATGTGATATATCTCGACTTTTGAATGAGTTCTGATGCATCACGACAAATGTAGTAGATATGATATATCTCAACTACTGTATCAGTTCTGTTGCATCACGACTATTGTGTGAGATATGATATATCTCGACTACTGTATGAGTTATGATGCATCACGACTATTGTGTCAGATATGATATATCTCGACTACTGTATGAGTTCTGATGCATCATGACAAATGCAGTAGATATGATATATCTCGACTATTGAATGAGTTCTGATGCATCACGACTATTGTGTCAGATATGATACATCTCGACTATTGAATGAGTTCTGATGCATCACGACAAATGTAGTAGATATGACATATCTCGACTACTGTATGAGTTCTGATGCATCAGGACAAATGTAGTAGATATGATCTATCTCGACTATTGAATGAGTTCTGATGCATCACGACAAATGTAGTAGATATGATATATCTCGATTATTTCATGAGTTCTGATGCATCACGACAAATGTAGTAGATATGATATATCTCGACTACTGTATGAGTTATGATGCATCACGACTATTGTGTCAGATATGATACATCTCGACTATTGTATGAGTTCTGATGCATCATGACAAATGTAGTAGATATGATATATCTCGACTATTGAATGAGTTCTGATGCATCACGACAAATGTAGTAGATATGATATATCTCGACTACTGTATGAGTTCTGATGCATCATGACAAATGTAGTAGATATGATATATCTCGACTATTGAATGAGTTCTGATACATCACGACTATTGTGTCAGATATGATACATCTCGACTATTGTATGAGTTCTGATGCATCACGACAAATGTAGTAGATATGATATATCTCAACTACTGTATCAGTTCTGTTGCATCACGACTATTGTGTGAGATATGATATATCTCGACTACTGTATGAGTTATGATGCATCACGACTATTGTGTCAGATATGATATATCTCGACTACTGTATGAGTTCTGATGCATCATGACAAATGCAGTAGATATGATATATCTCGACTATTGAATGAGTTCTGATGCATCACGACTATTGTGTCAGATATGATACATCTCGACTATTGAATGAGTTCTGATGCATCACGACAAATGTAGTAGATATGACATATCTCGACTACTGTATGAGTTCTGATGCATCAGGACAAATGTAGTAGATATGATCTATCTCGACTATTGAATGAGTTCTGATGCATCACGACAAATGTAGTAGATATGATATATCTCGATTATTTAATGAGTTCTGATGCATCACGACAAATGTAGTAGATATGATATATCTCGACTACTGTATGAGTTATGATGCATCACGACTATTGTGTCAGATATGATACATCTCGACTATTGTATGAGTTCTGATGCATCATGACAAATGTAGTAGATATGATATATCTCGACTATTGAATGAGTTCTGATGCATCACGACAAATGTAGTAGATATGATATATCTCGACTACTGTATGAGTTCTGATGCATCACGACTATTGCATTAGACATGAAATATCACAACTATTATATTATATCTGATACATTTCGACTTATGTATGAGTTCTGATGCATCACGAATATTGTGTCAGATATGATATATCTCGACTATTGTATGAGTTCTGATGCATCACGAATTTTGTTTCAGATATGATATATCTAGACTTTTGTATGAGTTCTGCTGCATCACGACTATTGTGTCAGATATGATACATCTCGAATATTGTATGAGTTCTGATGCATCACGAATATTGTGTCAGATATGATATATCTCGACTACTGTATGAGTTATGATGCATCATGACAAATGTAGTAGATGTGATATATCTCGACTATTGAATGAGTTCTGATGCATCACGACTATTGTGTCAGAAATGATACATCTCGACTACTGTATGAGTTCTGATGCATCACGACTATTGTGTCAGATATAATATATCTCGACTACTGTATGAGTTCTGATGCATCATGACAAATGTAGTAGATATGATATATCTCGACTATTGAATGAGTTCTGATACATCACGACTATTGTGTCAGATATGATACATCTCGACTATTGTATGAGTTCTGATGCATCACGACAAATGTAGTAGATATGATATATCTCGACTATTGAATGAGTTCTGATGCATCACGACAAATGTAGTAGATGTGATATATCTCGACTATTGAATGAGTTCTGATGCGTCACGACAAATGTAGTAGATGTGATATATCTCAACTACTGTATGAGTTCTGATGCATCACGACTATTGTGTGAGATATGATATATCTCGACTACTGTATGAGTTATGATGCATCACGACTATTGTGTCAGATATGATATATCTCGACTACTGTATGAGTTCTGATGCATCATGACAAATGTAGTAGATATGATATATCTCGACTATTGAATGAGTTCTGATACATCACGACTATTGTGTCAGATATGATACATCTCGACTATTGTATGAGTTCTGATGCATCACGACAAATGTAGTAGATATGATATATCTCGACTATTGAATGAGTTCTGATGCATCACGACAAATGTAGTAGATGTGATATATCTCAACTACTGTATGAGTTCTGATGCATCACGACTATTGTGTGAGATATGATATATCTCGACTACTGTATGAGTTATGATGCATCACGACTATTGTGTCAGATATGATATATCTCGACTACTGTATGAGTTCTGATGCATCATGACAAATGCAGTAGATATGATATATCTCGACTATTGTATGAGTTCTGATGCATCACGACTATTGTGTCAGATATGATACATCTCGACTATTGAATGAGTTCTGATTCATCACGACAAATGTAGTAGATATGATATATCTCGACTACTGTATGAGTTCTAATGCATCACGACAAATGTAGTAGATATGATATATCTCGACTACTGTATGAGTTCTGATGCATCACGACTATTATGTTACATCTGATACAGCACGACTCTTGTATTTTACCTGGAAAATACAATTTATGTTTTCGGTTATATCATTCCCATGACATACCTCACTCACAGATTTACTCACTCACGAACCCAAGAGACCTACCTGGCCCTCCTGTACTAAAGTACACAGCGTGCAGAACATGATCAGTACACAATCTCCAATACAGCTGCCCTGAAACATACAATACAGAACACAGTTAGAGTGAAAAAGGACACTTTGTAGGAGCGACTGCCACTGCGACTTTTCTGAGTCAGGGGTTGGCATCATACCTGTCATACATATTCTTACCATAGATATTCCTATCATACATGTAGATTTTCCTGACATCTATATTCCTATCAAAGATATTCCTATCATAATTTTACAATTTCCTGACATAGGTATTCCTTTCGTACATGTACACGTTCCTGGCGGTCATGTCCCTACAATAGATATTCCTATCACACATGTCTATTCTTCTGACGTAGATATTCCTATCAAAGATATTCTTATCATACATGTAAATTTGTAGACATGAAAAAGAAACATGTATGCTCAGCACCAAAACTATCTATTTGTCCATGTAACGCAGGGGTGGCCAGGGAGTCCAGTATAAGCCACTGTAATTTGCTGTCCTCAGTTACCCCTTCAGGCGTGGCAGCATCCTCGGATCATGGGTTCCAATCCTAGATTTGTTTGCAGATAATTGTGTCCAGGTTTGTCAGCACCTCAGACTCACTCACAGGTTCCACCCAAGTGATAAACGTCTTTACTTCTAGGAGTACTTTGTACTGGCACTCTGCTCCGCTGTGTGTACTAAAACCTTTCAAAGTAATATACTTTGTACACGCGCTAATGCATTTGATGACGCTTGAACTTCATGATAAATCAATTGTTAATTTAGTACATTGTTTCCAACATTCGGTTTATAATTGTGCATTAATCTGTTTATGATACCTTTAAGGCGACGAAAAGCATTACGTTGTCTTACGCTGGACTGAATTAAGAATGCTAACTAGCTGAGAAGCGCATTGGCCATGACAGTGTTTTGTTCTGTAGCAACAACACAACACACAACAGTGTTATTTTAAGAAGAAAATCGACAGACTTGCATGTAATTCAATATCGAAGTTGCTGTCGATGACAACGTTGCAGCCGCCTCTGACGTCTATTGTGGTGTGTTGTCTGTCACCAGGGTCATCTGGTGTACAACAGTTCTTTAAGTTCAAAACGTGCAGTAACAAAATATTCTTTGTGTGTGTGTGTGTGTGTGTGTGTGTGTTTGTGTGTGTGTGTGTGTGTGTGTGTGTGTGTGTGTGTGTGTGTGTGTGTGTGTGTGTGTGTGTGTGTGTGTGTGTGTGTGTGTGTGTGTGTGTGTGTGTGTGTGTGTGTGTGAGGGTGTGTGAGGGTGTCTGGGGTGGGGGTGGGGGGAGGGTGTGTGTGTGAATGGGGGTGGGGGGGTGACAGTGGGGGGGGGGGGGGGTCGGGGGGAGGGTGTTTGCAATTGTGTGTGTGGGGGGGGGATGTGATTCACAGTAAATGTCCCATGCTGCAATGTCGATGGCAATTCATATCACTTCGACTGTGTAGTTATTCTTTTTACACTTTGTAAGAGCATGATATTGCTGTATTTGCATGATACTCTCCCAAGGCAATTGTAGAGAGTAAGGATTTTATATATATCTTAGCACTTGACAAAACTATTTCAGGAACAAAAGAAAATATTCTTAAAATATAATCTTGTTGTTGTATTAATAGTAACCGTAGTGATACCAAGAATATTAGTAGTTGAAGTAGGAAATAGTTTTTTGCAGTTGTTGTATAAGAAGTAGTTTCAGTTGTAATTTTAGTTACTGTAGTATAAGTATAAGTAGTAGTAGTAGTAGTAGTACTAGTAGTAGTAGTAGTAGTAGTAGTTGTTGTTGTTGTTGTTGTTGTTGTACTGCTAACAGCTGTAATAGATGTTGTAGTGCTAATGAGTGAGTGACTTTGGTTTTATGCCGCTTATATCATTATTCCCGCAATATCACGGCGGGGGACACCAGAAATGGACTTCACACATTGTACCCATGTCGGGAATCGAACCCGTTTCTTCGGCGTGACGAGCAGACGCTTTAGTCACAAAGCTACCCGACCGGTAGATGTAGATGTAGTAGTTGTTGTTGTGCTAGTCGTTGTTGTTGTCTACACCGCAATGTAATCCAATCTGAGTGACGTGTATAAAGCAGTACAGGAACTGTAGTTCATACATCGGCTGCCAATACAGCACATCAGAATATTTGTGGACACATGTCTTGAGCGGACGTCAAGGGTTTCGAGTGAGCTAAATGTCTACTAATACACGTATGAGACCGATAGTGATGCCACTGTCACTGAGGGGAGTGAAGTATTAAATGGTATCTCAACAAATGATCTTACATAGTGTCCCACAATTGTTATTTATCCCCATAGTATATATACAGTCAAATAAACAATGAGAGAATACGTGAGCGAGTGAGTATGAGCTTACGCCGCTTTTAGCAATATCATGGCGGGGGACACCAGCATTAAGCTTCACACATTGACCCCATGTCGTGTATCGAACCTGGGTCTTCGGCGTGACGAGCGAACGCTTTAACCACCAGGGTCCGCCCCTCCATAAACAATGGGTGAAATGGGTCTTAACGTCGGGTTCCGGGGTGTTACACAGCGACGTGTTTGTATAGCCTGTGTGTGCCTGCGAGCTGGGGGTTGTTGCGTGCAGCTTTAGTCTCTTCTTACATGTATTATTGAATAGTTCAACCAACCGACAAATGCAGTTATATGATAAACATAGCAAAAACATGCATTAATATACTCACATTTAGTTTATATATTATTATGTCTTAGTACACATTCCATTGAGCACAGAACGTGTTTCACGGCAGCTGTTAGGGGTATGGAAAATGGTGGACGATGAAAACGTATCCCTTCAACTGTATTCGAGAGTATTTTAATGGGAATAAATGGACTTCCGCAGAGGACAACGTCATGTGAGAGTCCATCGATATAAACCAGTAACTCATATATCGATCCCTGTAGGATTGAGAGTGCTAGTATTTGCTTCTTAGTCGAATGCGTGACTGACTCGCCGGCTCAACATGATCATTGTCATATTTTATACATCAGATGCGTGCAGACAGGATGCGGGGTTGTGAAGTGTTTTATATTATTGTGTGGAGTAGTCAGCGTTTCAGAAGTCAATAATACCACATGTTTCCTATGGATGTTTGTGATTAAAGGGAAATTATAGTAGTACATGACTGGATCCGTATTATGTTTTTTGTCACACATTTTGTTTTGTTGGTACCCATTCTATCAACATTTTGCAATAGTCCAGCTACTTCGCGGAAAATAACACACTTACGATGAAACATTTTCAATAAACACATGCTCTTTGATTCTTTAGAAAGAGCGGACACGGTAAATCACTTTTTCAAAGGTGAAGTATATATGTTTAAGAGAAATAAAACGTATAGTCACGATATTACACACTCCTATGAAAACCGAAAAGATATTTTTTATCACGAATCGTCGAAACTAATATCCCTTTATCGAAATTGCCGGAAGAACAACAATATATGTTATATTTCCTGAAACAGCTCAGATGAGCTGCACCAGAACCCTTACTTACTTCAATGCCTTTTGCCTGCCTGATCTTCCCTCTGACCATCGTCATTGACCACAGTCCCACGCACGTCATGGAGAGAAAGCCGTACAGGCAGCAGCTCTCCCCCACGGCTTCGGCGTTCCTTCCCGCCGTCACACAAGGCACAAAGTAGGTGATGATACAGATACCGAAATTATCAAAACATCCACACAAGCCATGCTGCCATTCACCCATGGTGTATTATACTCGTAGCTTGCTGGTAGAGATGAGTACTTATCCCCCTGTGTTATCTCCCTCGTCTTCGACTGGGTCTATTGTTAACCCTCTGCCAGACCTGTGGCATCAGTGGTGCAGATGATAACAGTGGCGTTGCTGTTGTCACTGACAACCTTTGTAAATAGAAGATGTGATTGGACAGTGAAAACTTGTTGTCTGACAATTGCAGGATTTCTTTTGTTTAACGTTTCCCCTGTTTGCATCTTTCCGCTTCATCAATACCTGCTGTCGACCATATCCACAGGAGGTTGGAGAATAATGGACGCGTTCTTTGTAGAGAAATCGAACTTCTTAATATTTTATGATGGCATAGTTTTTGTTAATTCTTACGAATGAATATTATAAATTGTTCAAGGCTGGAGCGTCGCGATGGAATAGGATGTAGATTCCCCTTTGAGGATGTACTATGTAGAGTCCCTGTGAAGGATGTAATGCGTAGGGTCGCTGTGAAGGATGTAATGTGTAGGGTCCCTGTGAAGGATGTAATGTGTAGGGTCGCTGTGAAAGATTTACTGTGTAGGGTCGCTGTGAAGGATTTACTGTGTAGGGTCGCTGTGAAGGATGTAAAGTGTAGGGTCGCTGTGAAAGATTTACTGTGTAGGGTCGCTGTGAAGGATGTAATGTGTAGGGTCGCTGTGAAAGATTTACTGTGTAGGGTCGCTGTGAAGGATGTAATGTGTAGGGTCGCTGTGAAAGATTTACTGTGTAGGGTCGCTGTGAAGGATGTAACGTGTAGGGTCGCTGTGAAGAATTTACTGTGTAGGGTCGCTGTGAAGGATGTAATGTGTAGGGTCGCTGTGAAGGTGTAATGTGTAGGGTCGCTGTGAAGGATGTAATGTGTAGGGTCGCTGTGAAGGATGTAACGTGTAGGGTTCCTGTGAAGGATGTAATGTGTAGGGCCGCTGTGAAGGATGTAATGTGTAGGGTCGCTGTGAAAGATTTACTGTGTAGGGTCGCTGTGAAGGATGTAATGTGTAGGGTCGCTGTGAAAGATTTACTGTGTAGGGTCGCTGTGAAGGATGTAATGTGTAGGGTCGCTGTGAAGGATGTAATGTGTAGGGTCGCTGTGAAAGATTTACTGTGTAGGGTCGCTGTGAAGGATGTAATGTGTAGGGTCGCTGTGAAAGATTTACTGTGTAGGGTCGCTGTGAAGGATGTAACGTGTAGGGTCGCCGTGAAGGATGTAATGTGTAGGGTCGCTGTGAAGGATGTAATGTGTAGGGTCGCTGTGAAGGATGTAATGTGTAGGGTCGCTGTGAAGGATGTAATGTGTAGGGTCCCTGTGAAGGATGTACTGTGTAGGGTCGCTGTGAAGGATTTACTGTGTAGGGTCGCTGTGAAGGATGTAATGTGTAGGGTCCCTGTGAAGGATTTACTGTGTAGGGTCGCTGTGAAGGATGTAATGTGTAGGGTCCCTGTGAAGGATTTACTGTGTAGGGTCCCTGTGAAGGATGTAATGTGTAGGGTCGCTGTGAAGGATTTACTATGTACTACAACTATTACTACTACTGCTAATACTAATACTAATACTAATACCACCAATACCACTGATACCACTACTAATACTACTACTAATATTGCTACTATTAAGTGTCTAGAATTACGACTATTACGTCTACTACCACTACTACCACTTCTACTAATACTACGACAAATATTGCTATGTAATGTCTAGAACTACGACTCCTACTTCTACTACCACTGCTAACACGACTACCACTGCTACTACTGCCACTACTACCACTACTACCACTACTACTACAACTACTACAACTACTAACTCTACTAACACCACTTCTACTACTACAAATATTGCTACTATTTAATGTCTAGAACTATGACAACTACTTCTACTACCACTACTACCACTACTACTACTACTACAACTACTACTACAAATATTGCTACTATTTAATGTCTGGAGCTACGACTACTGCTTCTACTACCACTACTACCACCACTTCCACTACTACCACTGCTACTTCTGTCACTACTACCATTACTACTACCACCACTACTACTACTACTACCACCACCACTACCACTACTACCACTGTTACCACTACTACCATTACTACTAACACTACTTCTACTATTACTACAAATATTGCTACTATTTAATGTCTAGAACTGCGACACCTACTTCTACTACCACTACTACCACTACCACCACTACTACTACAAATATTGCTACTATTTAATGTCTAGAACTACGACAACTACTTCTAGCACCACTACCACCACTACTACTACTAAAGGTAAACTCGAGCATGTTCTTTCCACGAATATTTCAAAAATACTACTCTTGCTCAAAAGTTACAATATAGAGGACATTTCCAAATTTGACACATCACAATGATGTCCGATGCAATTCCCTATTTTGACTTGTACCATGTTCTCGTGGGTTTTTTTCAAGTGAAAAATTGGCTTGCTTTTGCATGTGTTTGTGACTGGTGCCACCGATGGGGCAGCATACGCTAACCTTTTCGCAAAAACCTGGTATCATGATTATTTGCTAGTGATTCATAAACGCGTGCTCCCCATAAAGTCGCATTCGTACAATGGATTCTGCTTGTAGCAATGATGATCGTAGGACGGTTGAGTCAGCTTCTTGCGAATGAACCCTTTGACACACTGACAGATTGTTTGTTGGGTAGCTTCATAAAACAATGTCAGCTAAGTTATTGTCCCGAGCAGCACTTTATTAAAGAAGAATGATGTTACAGGTTGCTAGTAGTTTGAGACAGGCAGTGCGAATCAATGCCTGCAGGCTGCATGATAAATAGTTGATGAAGGCGACTCGACGTGTGTTGTGTCTGTTCCACGGCGTGTCACGGTCAAGAGAAGGGTCGATACAACATGGCGTGTATCCTGGTAACTACCACGTCTAACGCAGCGGTTATACATTATTCTGCCTTTCATGAATCCCCTGAATCACCCAAACATTTTCTCCATAGTTTTTTTTTGGTTGTTGTTTGCAGCGATTGAGTGAGTCGTCGCCATAAAGCCTTGGAGTATTGTATCAGGATAGCGTTGTCTTTTCTGTTCTTGTGATGCATGTTAATCTACATTAGTAGCAAACATACAAGTTTATACCTGTAAGTTTTCCAACCTTCATTTCTGACGCCTTCAACAACATTATTCTCATGCTGTCCCCATAGCTCCAATCCTTCGATACTAAAGTGAAATAGCACGCATTGCATGTAGGCAATCAATTTCTCCTTGGAGAAGAAGTCTGTTAGTTTCAAGTGTGCTCAAGGTTGAGCAACGCCTGCAGTTGCAAGTAGCAGTGCTCGGCCTGCTCGGGTCTTTGGCTTCCAGGTGTATGTGTGAGGCTCTACTCCAGAATGGAGGCATTTTCTATTTGAATGTGATGAACGTACGGCCCATGGATATATGACTCGACATGGTGCATCCACAGACTGGTCAAATTGTTTGGAATATTCATCTGTCCATCTAGCAGTAGAATGAGAGTGCGATGAAACCCTCCAGCGCTAGAGAACATGTCAAGCAATCACCAGGAACTATCAATAAATAACCGCTTCACAGCCTGTTGGTTTATCATACCTCTTACTGTGTTGCCTGGTCGCATTCCTTCGCGAAAAGTCTTGTTAATCTTAATCTAATAATCTTAGAGGTACAGTGAGTTGACTGAGTGAGTGAGTCTGGTTTTTAAGCCAATATTCCAGCAATATCGCGGGACACCAGAAATGAGCTTCACAAATTGTGCCCATGTGGGGAATCGAACCCGGGTGTTCGGCGTGACGAGCGAACGCTTTAGCCAGTAGGCTATTCCACCGCCCTCTGTTACCTTTGATCCTTACTTCAATCACTGCCATGCATCACTGTTGTAATTCCTTTTACACATGCTTACAGAAAGAGGTTTTAACGACGGGTGTACGAAAAGTATGCAAAAACCTCCGGCAATGTCCTCCATGTACAGTAGTACTGATAGTTCAATAATTTATACTAATTATATAGGCTACGTTGACACTATAGGAGCCAGTTAAATGACATTTTATTGGTGCAGTTCATAATTCGACGCAACTATGCTTAACCAAAGTTAGTAAAACCCACACTTTGAACTTTTGTAACAATTGAATGGACAATTCATGCTTCGTGTTAAGTTGGTTGTCTAGGTGCATATGTGTAACGAATGCAGACTGGTAAAATATCCCTGTTACTAACCTATACCCTTAATTCCACAATCACCCAGACAACGCACCCCCACCCTCCACCAACACGGCAACGCTCCAGCCGTCTCGGCATTTCAGCGCACAGTGTGTGAACTTGTGCATTAAGTGTTACCCAAGAAAAAGATCAGCTGAACACTCAACGACACTCGAGTTATCGAAAGACATAAACTATTTGTTATTCTGGGGCGCCGGGTGGGGGCGAAAAAAATCTATTGTCCCCGAAAATTTGAAAAAAAATAATTAATATGCTTTAGGCTGTTAAAGAAAAAGAAATTACCTGCCACAAAAATACATTGTTGAAAGATGTTGGTTTTTTTTCTTTTTAAAAACTCCTGGTATTGTAGCTGTAGCTGAAACAATATTTAATCTCGATACAAAACCCAAGACTTAATCGTGTACTAATGTCGGCGTTCGTTCGTAAAATGACAACTATCCGTTCCCATATTGTTCACCATTATTATATGTTCAATCGCCAAATACCCGTTCCCTTATTTTCGTATCATCGACATATATTTCCTGATCAAACTTTAATACTCGCTCCCTTGTGTCTCACCATTATTATGATATTCTGTTACGTTGTACAATTGTTATACCAGTTCCCCTAATTCCCACAATCAGTATACGTTTCTTTGAATCCATTAACTTGTCTTAAGAGTCCCAATCCCCATTTCCTACGATCACTATAGTAGTATGTTTATTCGTCAAGTTATCATACCCGTTCCCCTACTTCCTACCATCAGTATATATTTTCTCGTCAATTTATCATACCCGTTCCCCTATTTCCTACAATCAGTATATGTTTCTTCTTCAACTTCTCCTACCCGCTCCCCTATTTCCTACCATCAGTATATGTTTCTTCGTCAACTTATTATACCCGCTCCCCTATTTCCTACCA